TGCACCCTAAGATCTTTTTTTTTTAATTATTTTTTGATATGTGGAAGGTTTTAAATTCAGAATTTCCTACTTACAATCCTCCTCGTCTTAACACCCAACCTAACTCTCTCCTAATTCGCATCTTAAGCTATTAATATTAATATTAATTCATGACTATCTTGTAACGCACTGTTCAAATCCATTAAAAAATCGATAAATTTTGATAACTGTTTTTGAATGCAAAGACTTAGTATCAGTAAACTAAATGAAGAGAAGAAATTTAGAGAATTATGCAAATTGTGGACACTAAAGTCTTTAAAAATAGTAGTGAGAGTTGATTCTCTGTTTTTATTCAATTGGTACTCCCGTGCGTCTAGTAAATTGTGGTAGCAATTACTACTATTTTAATGAGCCTCCCAAAGAGACAGTAGAAAGAGTCCTAAATCCTATGTAATATTTATTTGGGGGAGGGAACATGATGAAGGTTCCGAGGAAATGGTAGCATATGCCACGCACTTTATTGCTGGAAGGCAGTAACAATGGTGCATGATTCCTGGCCCAGCGGAATTGATCTATACCTTATCCTGTCTTACTCTAAAATAATAAGGGAAATTTGGGGCACATGCGGACAAGCCAGTTGGAAGTTTTGACTGAAGGGGATTAGGGTTGAACTTGAACTCGGGTATGTTTAATTACCCTAGACTTAGATTTAAGGGTATTTTGCTCTTGATGTCATTTCAGGTTTTTCATATTGGTGGGCTTGGAGGGGATGGGGGGTGGGGTGTCCGGCTGGGGGGATGGGCTGGGATGGGATTTGGGTTGAATTCGGGTATGTTTGGTTACCCTAACATTAAGGTTATTTTGCTCTTTTGTCACTTTATTATATATAACAATGTGTTGGGGGCAAAGTTTCAATCTGCTGGTGGTTTTGTTTAGGGATGCCACTTGTGCACTTGCGCATTTAAGCCAGGGTATATTGGCAGTCCCATAGTTATTTTTTCAATGGGTCTTTAGGCATTCCATTTTCCCGAAAAAAAAAAGTTTCAATTTTATATACCGTGTCACAAGGGAAAAAAGTTTCAATTTTATATATTGTGTCATGAGTTTTTCATATCGGTAATTACTTTTTGTTTTTTATACCTTCTGTCTCTCCTTATATTCAATTGTTAGGCCTTGACCCTGAAATTGATAGCGAGAAGAACTCTAAGAGCTCTCTCCTGACTAGTAAGCTGACTCTAGTGTTTATCAGTAATTACTCTTTTGACTCTCAAAAAGTGTAAAACTAATTTCCTCAAAACTCTTGTTTTTGTTTTTTCCTTCATGAATCTAAGTACTTCATGTTAGCTTTCTGCACCAGTCCTTTACTTCTTTTTCCTCTCTTTTACTAATGAGTCTTTTGGGATTACTGTTAAGAAAAACGTTTGGAATGTGAATGTGTTATTTTTGATGTATGAAGTCAAATGATGTTATAAAGTAACTCGGGCGTTTTGTTAAATTTTTTTCTTCCTTTTATTATTTGTTACTTTTTTGTTTTTGGGCTTTTGAAGATCTTAGAGTAGGATTTTTTTTCCCCCCTTTTTGGAGTCAAAGATAGACTCTAAGGCTTACGAGGGAGAAGGGGAAAAGGGAAGGATGAAATTGGAATTGGAACATTGGGGAGTCTTGAATGTGCATGAGCTTCTTCCTTGAGGTTTCATTTTGGTTATATGGAAGTGGACATTGGATGCAAAAGTGGACACCCTCATCTCATAGGTTCCTTCTAATGCTCTCTCTGTTAGGAAAATTTCGATCCCTAGAAATGAAGCATTATAGAGTGTTAAACCTTCTAATATTTCTTCAGTCTATATATTAAATCGGTTTGACTAACAAGTGCTTATTAAATACTCGATAAGAAAGAGCTCAACTGTTAGTTTTTTTTTTAAAAAATTTCTTTTTGAATAGTGTAGTTAGTTTAGAGAAAATATCATAAGATGATGCAATAAATATAAGCGTGTATTTAGATAGTAACTTACATGTGGTTTAGGTATCTCATTAACAAATCCATATTAGATTTAGGTTAGCCCTTATGAAACTTTTCCATATGGATATAGGGGCTGTTCGTTAGCACATTATTTAGCTACTCAACACAGAAGCTTTGTTTATCATGGAATGAAAAGTTTTACCTACTCCAGAAAAGAAAAAATCCAATAAGGATTAGTGATTATGACGTAAAATCAGAATCTATATCCAAATCCAAAATAATTATTGAAGCATTTAATTACTTAAAAGGAGAAAATACCCAGAACAGCTTGATATCAATAATTATTAGTAGAAAATTTTCAAATTTGAAGTTTGCCTGAAAACTCTGGATAGTAGAATATTTCGAATAATTTTTTGAACAAAATGCTATAACATTTTTTTGATGTGTTATATACCAGATAAAAAGATGGTTAGAAAATGTATTGATGATACAATCAAATAAAATTTGAAAAATAATCTAGTGTCCAAACAAAGTAAAATAATAAGGCTTTAGTCTAATGGTACCATAGCCAAAATTACATGCTTTAGATTTAGGTTCCAGTTGCAAATAATGCATGAAGTAATAGCAGTATCCAATATGTTAAGGCTTACTCCGTTTGTTTTTTTTGTTTTTTTTTTTTTTCCAAACGTTAAGGCTTACTCCGTTTACTCTACATTTTCTTCCTTTAAGTTGTTTATGAAAATGCCATACATTTCATTTTCAATATTTGGAACGGGCTTCAATTACTTTAAAGAATCTAAGGGCTATTCTGCATAATCAACTTTTTTTTTCAACTTATTAAACAATTTGAAAGGAGAAAACTAATAAAAAATAAAATCTATAGTACAATATATAACGACTTGTCACATTATTCAATATCCGAAGAGAATCTTACTCTATATATGTTGGGGTCAAAGCTTATGGTCCTTTAGGGGTGCCTTTTGAGACGTAAATGCTACTAACCTCATAGTATGATTGAAAAATTCAGGATTACTGCTCTCGCAAGTTTTATTTCAAATTAGTTGGGAGAAAAATAGTTATTTTTAAATTTTTTTTTACATCATAATCTCAGTCATTCATATCTTACATTGGATCTCTACTTATTTACAGCCCCTCGGATGAAATGGTCTGAAATGTGAGGCCCATGATCCAAAAAACTCAATCTCAATCTCTTGTGACTGTTGTGAGTCCCTAATTATTTAAATCCATCATTTACAATAATCTTGCACTTTTGCTCATCTAAACTTCGATGCGTAGCTGAGAAACATACGAGTAAGTTTTTTATATATTGTCAATCTATATATATATATATATTAAATACTAGCAAGTTTAGATCAATGTTATATAGCATAAATTCAAATTTAAAAATTCAAATCATACATAATGTGGCATACATATGTCGCTATTAGTATAAAAAAATCACTATACTATCAACGCATAAAATTTAATCCAAAACTATAGTAGATCAGGAATTAAGAAGCATCTAATATTTCCAATCTATCAATTTAAAGAGTAATGGTGTATCGCGAAGGAATTGATGCACAAGTCCACCAACCAAAGCGGATTGCTTGGGGGCGTCCAGCAGTTGAGTAGAGAATTAGAGATCGCTCAAGGGAGCCGGCCAGTTCATTCATTTCGATGTCCATCCACAGGACAACTTATAAGTTGTCTAATCTCAAAATTTGCACTTCTCAATTGCATAGTTAAAAATTTGAATGAAATGCTTTAATTGGAAAATGAATGAAATCAGCCAATTATGAGACACTACTGATCATCCAGATTCATGCAACTGGTATGCTTCAAGTGTTAATCAGATTTTTTTTTTTTTTTATTCGAATGGTTGAATGGTATAACAAATCCATCTATTCCATTTTTAGCACCAGATAGGAAAAGTCAATCTGTTGTGAGGTATAATTGAATGGATCATGCTTATAAAGTGAAGAAAGTGGACAAAAGAACAAAATGGAACACCCAATTGAAAGAAGAATTCATTAGGAGAAACAGGAGACAATTTCTGCAATCTACATTACAACACATGAACTACTATGATGAATTTGATAATTTTCTAGGCTGATATTATGATAATATACATAACCTAGGCTATTGATGACAACAATCTGGTCATTTCCCATTTCCTCCTATTCTTTCACTCTCTGGGCTGAATCCCCTGCAACTCAATCCTCTGCAGTGTGAGTATGCCCCCTAAACCAGGAGGGATCTCAACAAGTTGGTGGCAGTTCTTCACAACTAGAGTCTCAAGGCAAGGGAGATGATCCTCTGAGGTATTCCAGTGTGCAACGTCTTCAAGAATTTGAGTTTAAGGAATTCCCCTTCTTTCATTTCCCATGTTTTCCCTTTAAAGGAAGCATCTGATGATTTAAGAACCTCAAGATTGGGCAGTTTCCCAATGCTTGAAATGGCACTCCATGGCAACTGAAATTCTGATAGATTCAACTTCTTAATATTTTGTGGAAAGTTGAATTCAAAAGGATAATGAAGCAACTGACCGTGGTTAACCACATTGAGCGACTCAAGTCGAGTGAGGAAGTCCAAAACAGGCAAAAAGTTGCATTTGGAAGAAAAATCCTGTGAAACCAGAAATATGCAACTCAGCTTTCAAAGGTTTGGCATGGCTCCCAAGGTCTTCCCAATATCTTTATGGTCATGGAAAAACAAACGTGGTGTTGAAAGAGTTTGTAAGCTATTAAACTTGAAGGCCTTCTGCCTGAATTCTTGATTATACAATGGAAAATATCAAAACCAATCTATCCTCAATAGCCTCAATCTCACCAGTCTCCAAATAGTGTTGGGCAATTGCATTCCTCGACATGATCTCACTAGTAAAGTTTCCACGTTTTGGAGGTTGCTTATTTCCCAGGACATCTTTGTTGAGGAAGTGCAAACAGATAAGAATCTTCAATAAACTAGCTGACATATGAGAGGAGTGAATCCAACGTTGATGTGCAAAATATCCAGCACCCTGAAAAGTTTGAAGCTCTCAAACGGGCAAGAACATGAAAAGTCAGAAGACACTAGAGAGCGAAGACGTCGGCCAAAAGGCTTTGATGCAAAGACAGTATGGCTCGTACAATGTCTGGGCATGAGAAGACAAATGATCAGAATGAACACATGTTTGCAGCTGCAAAAAGCACTCTTCTTTAACTGTTGCCAGAGCAAAATCATGCAATAGATCATGGACGCAGCTTGCTTTCACTCCATCGGAGGATACGCTTTTGCAACCTGTTACAAGGCTTCTGCCAATTAGATCAGTCAAGTAGCTCCCAGCGACATCCTCTGAGCTTCCTTCATCATCTTTTTGCAGTTGAACAAATCCTTCTGCAATCCATAGCCACATCAACTTATTTGTTGGCGCTTCTGTGTTCCTAGGAAATGCTCTGAAATAAAGAAAGCATGGCCTCAAATGGTCTGGTAACTGCCTGTAACTAAGTTCCAGTATGTGCATACACCGTCTGTCTTCATCTTCAAGAAGGTTTGTGTTTAAACTATTTGCAACCTGTGCCCAGCATTCTGTATTACTTGCCTTCTTTCCCAGTAGTCCAGTTACCAAATCCACAGCAAGAGTTAGGCCTTTGCATTCTGTTGCAATTTTCCAACCAACATTGACAAGTTCTTAAGGGCACCTTGCTTTTTCCAAATAGCTTGACTTGCAGTAACTCCCAGGTCCTACTATTTGATAGTGGGTTAAGAGGATATGTCACGCTCTTGAATCCTGCTTCTGAAGCAATATTTTGAAATCTGCTTGTACTTCTACTGCCACTCTTATCGTCTGGGAAAGAGGCTTTCATATCATTCCATGGTCTAATATCCCACAAATCATCCAAGAAGATGAAAAACTTTTTTCCCTTGAGACTTTGATACAACTTTTAAGCTAAATCTTCATCCTCCATTGTCCATACTTGGTCAGTTTTCCCGCAAACTTGCAGTAAGATTTCAAGCAACAATCTTCTCTTTTCATATACGTGACTGACATGACACCTTGCATGAGCATCAAAGCATAAGGGAACCTAAGGATTTTCATATATCAAATTGCCTAGTGTTGTCTTACCAATGCTAGGCATTCCCACAATCGAGAGTATGTACAACTCTGTGAAACCATTAGTAAGTTGCTTCTTTATCTTTTTTGCTTCATCAGCAAAAAGCTCCACATGGCCAATGGACTTCTTTGTTTCATTTCCAGCCTCATGGTTGGGACCTTGCAATCCAACAAATTTCCTAACCAGCTAGAGAAGAAAAACCACTAAGGTTCATTGGAAATTTGGCGACTTGAGTGTTGGTAGTCCTCTTGGTTTTAATAGCATGCACCTCTCTGCTGATAATCTTAATCTGTTGTAGGATATCAAACAGCCCCAATTTCCATTCCCAAAGATGACCACTTCTGGCAATAAATGAATCAATGACAAATTCAGTCTGGCATACAATGTCTTTGAAACGTAGCCAAGGGTCTCTCTGCTCCTCCTGTTCTCGGAAAAGTTGTTCCCCAATTTCAAAAAAATCTTCTCTGAGAGATAATACGCTTCCAAGAACCATCTCCATTTGATACTGCAGCTGAAGAATTGAATCAGCATTTGAACTTAGCAGCTCTTGCAGATTCTTGATCACAAAATCCATGAAGCCTAGTTCATTAGTTTTGGAGATTTTGGAATTATATTACTATAGACGTATCTCGATTTTATCTTGATAACCTCTATCTCTAGCAGCAAATCGGCAATTCTAAGATTCAGCTCCCCAGCCATTTCTTCAGGAATATCACTGTCATAAGATGCATAAATAGCATATGCTGCACGACAGAGCACTATTTTGATGTGCAAAAGTAGATGGCTCACTTTCTTAATTTTCTGAGTGTATTGCGAAGCTGATGGATCAAAGAGATAACAACTAATAATTTGCAGCTCCTCATGCAATGCTTCGATTTGATCCATTACAGATCTCTTGAATCTTGCCTTCACATTTGATAGCTCTATCATATGGCGAAGAAGAGTATAGAGAAAGTGCAGAACAGGTTGTTCCACCAAAATGATATCTTGCAGTGATGATTCTAAAGCTTTGAGGGCTTTGATATAAATCTCCCTCACATTTGGCTGAAAAGGCTTGACCTTTTGTACTAGACGAGAAATTTCATCCTTCATCTCATTTACAATATTATCATCCATCTTGCTTTCTTCACAACACAAGTACAAAAGACATGCCGCTAGATTCTAACATCTTATTCAATATACAAGTTCATTTGCCCTTCTGGCCACCACGTAAACCCGAGAAATATCCTTGAGGATTTGCCTCAAATCCGGCTCTTGAAATGTATGAGCCACCACCACCAGGTGCTTTCATATATCCACCGCCAGCACCAACACTGCCGCTGCCTTTAGACGAACCACCGCCACCGGAGCTTCCTTTCCCTCCTCCGTTGCCTCCACTACCTTTGGCTCCTCCTCCAGAACTCCCACCTTGACCCATTTTGAAGTTGCTCTTTAGCTAACAAGTTTGAAACAATTCATATACCAGTATAGCACTAAACTGCTCGCGGATGGATCATTATGCCAAGACTGGTCAGTTTTTATAGGCAAATTTTGATAAGAAGTGAGGCAAAGGCTGTCTTCGAATCATCAACTCCATTAAGAAGCAAAAATTTTGTGATAGCCCAAATTAATGTAATGCATGCATGTTGAGAATACTTGGACTACTCGAATTGAATTCTGTAGGATGGTAAATTTAACTCGAATTCTGTAGCATAATAAATTTAGTTCATGGACCCTAGATACTGGGGATCTGGGGTGGGAGAGAAGTAAAAAATAGTACTCTCTCCGTTCAATAAGATAGGTCCATTTTTCTTTTGTGTTTATCCTAAATTATAGGTTAATTTTTTTTTGAAGTGTAGGTTAGTATATGGATTTACTGCTATATCCATAGTTAAATTGTATCTTAATTAGTAAGTATGCTATTTTATTAGTCAATCATTTTACTATAAATAATAAATTAAATAGTGTAACACTAAAACAAAGTATTAATAGGGGGGCATATAAGAAAGGTACTAAGCAAAAATGATTACATTAACTATTCTTCTTAATCTGTGTGAAAGTGGAATGAGTCTGTTAGAGGAAATTGTATAAACAAACAAACAAAAGTAATTTGAAAGTAGGATGGCGACTTGATTTTCTTAAGATTGTTTTATTTTGATTTAAGATGTTTATCATTGATTCAACTGTAGCTATTTTTGTGGTTTTGTCAATAATCTTCAGGTCTAGCTTAAAAAGGGTGAAAATTCATTTTGATAATCTGTTTTTGGTCCTTTAAAGTTGACCAAATTGTCAATTCAACCCTTAAATGTTATTACATCATAGTTAAGCCCTCCAATTCGAAATTTTGTTCCAAATGATCCCTTCCATCAATTTATGTCTCAAAGTGAAACCCTACTAACTTCAAGAAGTTTGAAGCAATTAATCTCCAAGTTAAATGAGTTAAGAATGATAAAGTGTTGCTCTTCCAATAAAAAAAAAAAAGAGTTAATCTGCCATCTCAAATCTTTCAAAACTAATCAAAAGAGCACTCACTATCTTTTTCCTTTGTATCTCATTAAAGCCAAAGTTGCTAGGAATTCAGTATACCACTTAAGTTTGACGAAATTTTAATTAATAAACACATATGAATTGACACAAAGCGTCATTTGGATTGAAATTTCCAGTTTTAAGTGTTTAGTTGAACTGGTAAGTTGGTCTATTTTAGAAGGCCAAATTCAAATTCACCTTTCTTTTTTTTTTAATGCACCCAATCCAATTCATGGTCAAGAATAGAGTGCACAGAAAGATCACTCGGGTAGTAACGCTTTTATAACAAACCTTATGTTAGCAAGCTAGAAATGAAATTAAATACTGCTTTTGACAAAAAAGAAAAAAAGCGGCAAGGAATAAATTATGATGTTTCCGCTATGGCACTATTTTCGTCTAGATATTCAGGATCCTTTATTAGTTGAAACCGAGAAGCTTTGAGGCAAAAATTAATTATTGCTTTTTGATTAAAGCTTTTTTTTGGTATTATTTGAGATTATAGCTGATATATATATAATCAAAGGCCTCCTTCAAAAGGCCCCTTGAAATGCAAGTGACCCTTCCAGCCGTGTCGCGAAGTATTGTTGGATTTTTGGTACAGAATGTACGAAGATTTTGTTTTTGTTTTTTAGTTTTTATCTATAACCCTCTTGATAAGAATGAACATCGCCTTATTAGCTCTGATGGTAGAAATTGAGGAAGAACATACCTGTAAACCGTGTTCAATTTGTGTGCATTTGGCTTCGAAATAGTTATTGGTTATTCGGCCTTAAGAAAATGTGGGGACTATTTAATGCAAAAGAATGCTTTTAAAACCACAAATTAACTAAATGGGGTTGAACACAAAACCGGTAGTTTAATACTTCAATATATTATCTCCATTGATCCAAATTTTAGAGTTGATGAAAGTACATAAATAGTCAACATTTTTATTTATCTTTGGGTAAAATACACTAAACCCCCTTGTGGTTTGGGTTATTATCATAAAGCCTCCTCATTGTTTGAAAACCCCCAAAGAACCCCCTTGTGATTTGGACTAATTTGGACAATGAACGGAAATCATCTAATTTGACGGAAAATATGAAATTCCTATATTAACCTTGTTTCAATCTATACTAAAAGTTAGTTCAAGATTCACATAAGATTTAAAAACTTTTTCACTTCATTTGAGAATAAAGAAACATCAAGTGGCTCATTTGAAAATTTTAAAACTTATCATCTTCTCCAAATCTCCACTTTTTTCTTCAACAACAGTAGAACAGCCACCAATTACCACAGCCACCATTCAACTGAAAACCTATTCTCCTTCAACTCAGCCTCCATCACCGCATCCACCTCAATCGAGCCCATGTCCGCTGGCGTCACAGCCGATAACACCCCTCCCAAACCATTATCCGAACCTAGAGTCGCAGCTGCAGCGGAAGCAAAAGCTGAAGTTGAAGGTGCGTCCAGATCGAAGGAGGCTTTGGCAATGAGAAGCTCCGGTAGTGCTGGTGTACGTAGACTGGAGGGTCTGAATTTGACTGGGAACTAGAAACTTCCGGTGAGGAACGAAGTTGAGGATCTTGAAAGGGATGCGAAATTGGGGAAAGTTGGTGAGGAGGTGGAAATGGATAAATTAATAGATTGTGACATTTTCCGGTGAGGTTTCACTAATTAAGGTGGCCGTTGATGGAGTTGAGCTTACGCCCGGAGATTGCAGGTGCGTGACGTAATAGCTAAAAATGGGAGAGACAAGGATGAAGAGAGTTAGGGTGGAGTCGTACCAAAGAAAATAGGGGAGCGTGTGAGTATATGTTTGTTACTAATTTGGAGGGCGGAGAAAACGAGGTGAGGGAGGCACGAAGCTTTGAAGTTTCAGTCTGGAATTTGGGTGGAAATTGGGAAACTGTATTTGTGCCAAATTTCAGTTCAATGATAATAAAGTCCATCTGTATCACCGCAAATTGGAAATTGGGAAACTGTATTTGTGCCAAATGATAATAAAGTCCATCTGTATCGCTGCCTTCAGTTCCAAGCCCGGCACTGAAACTTCAAACCCACCTGGTAGCGCCGGAGTTATATTACTGAGCAGAGAGTAAATTCACTAAAGGCGGTGCCGGAGTAATATTACTGAGCAGAGAGTAAATTCACTGGAATTTGGGTGAAGTTTCAGTGCCATATTCCACATGCCAAACCCACCTGGTAGCGCCGGAGGAGGAGGATTTGTCCCGCCCAGCAGCCCCCGAGTTTACAACTAAATTCATCTGCTACAGTGATGGAAGTGTACGAATCAATCTATCAATGATAATTTTTGATGCTTCAATTGCCATGGTAACCGCCTTCATCGTCATCTTCAACACCATTGGGTCTTAGATTTCATCTAAATTCATGAAATTTCTACTCTAGATGGTTCAGGAGAAAGAAAAAAAAAGGAAGAACAAAGAAAAAAAGAAAAGAAAAGAAAAGAAAAGAGAACATAAAATTATCACATTACCCTTGATGTATTGTTATCACACTCGCTTGTCAAGCGTGTGTAATTCACTTTCCGTCAAATTGGATGATTTCCGTCCATTGTCCAAATTAGTCCAAACCATGAGGGGGTTCTTTGGGGGTTTTCAAACAATGAGGAGGCTTTATGATAATAACCCAAACCACAGGGGGGTTTAATGTATTTTACCCTTTATCTTTAGATACTCAAACATCCCTTCTTCATTTGCTGGCCTTCTCCTTAGCATGCAGGTCAGAAAAGTAGCCCTTTGGATCGTTCTCAAAGCCAGTCCTTGATGTATATGCTCCATCACCACCAGGAGCCTTCATGATCTGATCATTGTTGCCACCTTTGTTAGTCCCACCACCACTGCTATTGCCACCACCGGCTCCTGCTGCACCTACCCCAGTTTCTTTGCTGCAACCCTTGTTATCCATCTCCAAATGCTCTTCAATCTTGATCACTTAAACAATAGTAGTAATTGTTGAAGTTATTACAATTTTGATGCCAACACTTCGATTGGATGATGAGTGGGGTTTATATAGGCATAATTTGATTAGGAAGTATTTAATTTCTGCACTTGAAATGATAAATTTTTCTTGTGAATTTAAGAGTCAAATGCATGACTGCATGGGGAAACTAATTTGACTACACGGATTTTTTAGCATGTGACATCTAATTCAAGGAATTTGTATTCTTTTTTAGAGATATTTGGGATAAAGATTAATCCTTAAAATTTTGAACGTAGTTTTCTGTTCAATCTATAGTCCAACTAAGAATCTGAAAACGGAATTACAGATCATTAGGGAATTTATATTATAAGGTTCCCGGAAGAAAAGGGAAAAAATTTATTTTTCATATGCTTTTATCTGTGTAATAATCTTTAAAATTTTTGAAAAATTCACTTTGTGAAATATGAGAGATTGTGGATCGGATTATGTGAAATTTAATTTAACAATTTTAACCCTAAAAAAATGATCATGTGTAAAGCACGTGGTCTAATCCGACTAAAAACTATTCAAAAACTTAGGTAGGGATCAAATTTGACCAATATAAATTTGTAAGAGATGTAAAATTAAACTTTTAAAAGTGAGGGATAAAAAAGTCATGTTGCAAAATATAAGAGACGTTTTGAATCATT